AGGTTTAAATTTTTAGGGAACGTTCCTAGCACACAGATAACTTAAAGTTATCGAATTAAGGATACAGGCATGCGTGGTTCCCATGTACAGCCCTGTGAAACTTTTTGGTGGGAAAATGGCTAACTCGGGAACCAAGAAGGCTGGGAGACTGAGATTTTAAAAGGATGTTCCCAGTCTACATATAGCCTACAACTTAAAGATTCCAAACCCAGCCTCTAGGTATGCTCCCAGGTCATGTGCGGCCCTGTGAAAGTTTTGGCGGAAAAATTACTAACTCGGGAATCAGAAAAGCTGGGAAGCTGAAGTTTTAGGAGAATATTCCCAGTCAAAATACAACTTAAAGGTTTGAAATTCAGTCTCTACTTACACGTGGTTCTCATGTATGAGCACTTAAATTTTTGGCGGGGAAATTACTCACTGAACAACTGGGTCATTTTCAAAAAACAACCGCTAGACGGGAATTGTTTGTTTTCTTTTATGCAAAATTTACGATGATTTACGGTATTGAGCGCATGAGGTAGGTGTGAAGAAACAACCGTTCATGCAGTTAACATGATTCAAGTCTGGTGCAAAAACGCATGATCGCACTGGCTCGCCTGGTGCCTTTCAGCCTGGGTTATTTACTGATGATAGCAATAAATTTAACGAGTAATTTGACTGTGTAGCAGCCGCCAGACAACTTTATAATCATGTATGACCAGGCAACCACTGCTTGTGCTAGGAAATTTATCCTGTAGTGTGCAGCTCGAATTGCTGCTGAAAGCTCTGGGGCTGTTACCCGACTACGCCGTTTTCTGTTTCTTGAACATCATTTCGAGTTCCAGCTCCAGCGGTATTTAACGACTTACTGTTGCTTTCAACAACACCTCACTGTTTCTGCTTGCTTCTCGTTCTTTTGATGCTGTTGTGGACCAGGTAATCTTTACTATAATGTAGTTTTTTTCGGAAGTTAAGAATTTTAAGTCACACTGAAAAAGCTCTTTCCGCGTTTCATCTTCTTGCCTGCACGTTTGCTCACTGCAGCAGTAGTTAACCACTGGCAAGGGGACAGGCATTTTAAGAGACAGGCTGAAGGCGGCTGCGCAAAATTGTGGGCTATAAGGCAGATCGGCGCATCGAAAAAAGTCAAAGAATCCTGCTCAAAAATAATTAATTTATCACAGCATTTCCACAACTTGCGGCGTTTTTGCGTACCCTCTCACTCTAAGCCAAAAAAGGCATAGCTGATTGTGTCACTACGCGCTTGAACAATTATTTAATTTTGGATGATTTAAAACCTTCGCAAAAATTCTTTGTTTTCGGAATGAGAGAGTAAAATTAATTTGCCCAAGTGAACAGTGCACCGGTGCGCGACGACGACACGAGCACTCGCAGAGCGATTTTTGATTTGTTAAATTGACTCTACCGTATTAGCTTGGCTAGGGTAGGAGGAGGAAGGGAGAGGGGCGTTATGATGGTAGGAAAAATAAAACCTGCAAATGATGACAATTTTCGGGTGCACATTTTTGTGCCAGCCTCGCAGGTGCCTTTAACTTACTGCCTTTTAGCCAGCCCTAATTGAATCTTTTCCGGTCAGTTCTGAATCGCACTCTTTTTTGTCCCAATTGATAGACTGATAACCACCATTCCTATTTCCTAAGCAATCAAAGGCTCGAAGGATTTGTTGAGAAAATCAGTTCTACAAGTTTTCCGATCCCGAAATGATGGTGTACTGGAAAGCTGACAGTTTATAAACCAGTTCCTTCCCTTAGCAGCTTTCAGTTCATCAAAGTCATCCCTTCAGGATCATGAAAAAAAAAACACCTGACCGATATTAGTGTGGGAACTTACCGTTGTGGGGAGCTCTGGTACGGTTTCTTGAGTGTAATATAGAGAACTTTAGAAGTCCCACAAATTATGATTCTCTTATTTTCATCCAAATTAGCAACGTCAGCGCCTTTTGAGGGATTTTGTTTCTTTTGGCACAGAGGCATGCAAATAATTTCTTGAAAGTTAGGCGTCTTTGACAGCTACCGTTAAAGAGCTAATACCCGCAAAAAAAAGCAGGGGCCGGAGCAGTCTCTGCAGTTTTTGGAGGAACTTTGTAGATCCGTGCAGGCCTCTCCGTGTCAGTATCGAAACGGTAAGAATTTGCCAGAGCATTGTCTTCTGCGACACTAGCAAAAACTGGAGCAACTCCTTCTGCAGCTGTTTTTTTCAGGGCTTCATATCCTACAGTGGCCTTTCTTTCACGCTGTCAAAAGTCGAGTCGCCATCGCTTCCGTTCTCTGTGAAAGGTGGTAGCACATGCCGATATATCTTCCATGTCTTTATATCGCCCATGTTGTGGCATCCAAGAAAAGAGAAGTTTACAGGTCGTTTGAGGCCAATTCCGGGTATTTTATTCTATACATTTTTTGTTAAAAAGTACTATTTTTCCTTTCAGATAAGGTAAGTTTCAAAATGCAACATTTATTCGAAGGTTTTTTACTCAGTTGTATACAAAAGCTGACAGAGGAAAATTTTACTCAGCTGTATACAAGCTGATAGAGAAAAGCAACTCATAAGATGCGTTGGTATGGATAATTTCACGTACATGTTATATAATAATTTGATCCTAAGTGACCAACATTTCGAGCTCGACAGCGCAAAGGTCAGTCGAGCTCCGTGTTAGCCAGTGCTAAATTCGTTCAACATTCTGCCAATCATAAA